GACTATTCTCTAATTCTACGTCATTGGCGGGATTGCCATGTTATCACAATTCTTCGATTCACTAATACTTTCTAAGTATATATCGTACCCTTTCGTCATAGCGATCAAGTCATTATTTTTCGATTTCAAGCTAAACATGAAGCTGCCACAATTATTTTTCAATCCCTATTAACAAAAAAAAACTATATACATAATAATCAAATCTTTGAATACGTATAATAAATAATAGAACATCCTGTAACAGGCAGGAGGCACATTATTTCTAGCTCATTTGCGTTGAATCTTCATATTTCGAGCTCATGATTTTATAGCTTAAATATTTCCAAATCAGTAAAGAATCACACTATAGATAGATAAGTATTTGGATTGTTGTGATCGAAAAATGAATATCATTACTAGATTTTCTTAGACATTGCTTACAAATGAACAGGTCCAAGGTCCGAACATATTCGAAAAAAACCTTGTATAATGTGTAGTGTGTACTTTGTATTTGTATTGCCTACAGCTTGTAGTCAGGCCAGTGGGACAGAAATGAATATCGTATATTAACGATGTATTTTAGGAACGGCTGTTGGAACCCAACATAATTTTCTTTTATTCGGAACACTCTTGAAATATTCAACTGCCTCACTGTCCTAGAGACACCACCACTCTGTATATGTTTCTTGCCTGCCAGATTTCTTGGATCGCGATGATGAAAATGTGGGGAGGGGGAAGGAATTAAATGGGATCGGCTGATCGTTTTTAGGGGGGAATGTTGGGGAGTGATGTTGGGTTATTTTTCGGGATTCGGAACGAGGGGTAACACATCGAGGAACCTAAGCTACGAGACCACACGACTTTACACTTTTTTGCGGCGTTGTCCAATTCGTTTGAAGGATTGACAGATGAATGGGGAGATTAAATCTAGTTACTGGACAATTGCATATTGTCATACTCATTTTCATATCATCATGACAAAGTACGTTTTAAAAATGTATTCACCTAGAAGAAATAAATTGGTTATTTTGATGAAACAAATTGTATTTTCATGAAAGAAAAATCGTATGATCCGAGTAAAATCTTTTCTCTGTGTATGTTTGAACGAACCCGAAACCCTTTTTCGTTAAGTAGGTAACAGAAAAATGCGCATCCAACCATTGGGCACATTCTTTTTCTGCTGTAATCGATCACTTTTATGGGCTCAAATTTCGAAACGTACATATACAGGTATACAGGGGGATCCCTGAAAGGTCTGTCCATACCTGTTAGTGACACACTGTATCATAGATATTCACTTTTCAAAATTTTTGGGATTTGCTCTTGTCTCTATGAATAAGAATATTAGTATTAATTTCTTTGAGAGGATGTAGAATTCATTGAAATAATCAGAGTTGCATAATAACGGAGATATCATCAATTATTGAACATTCAATACACTTTAAATTTCATTACGGTCCAGCCGCACGAATTTCTGTTAGGTGATTGAGACTGATCCTCGTCCTTCTGATACCGTCAACAGTAGAATTCTGTTTGCCTAGCGCCTGTCATTGAATCCTCATTCTCAATTGTTTTTTCTGAGCATTGCAATGCAATTTATCACGTTTATGAATTTAATTAACTTGTTTACATGCTTTTGATTTACGGTGGGTGTCGCCAAAGCGGTCAAAGTGCAGCAGCAGCATTTCGTTTCCGTCATTACAAGAAATCATTTTGGAATTCGAGCCCATAGAAGTAGTCGCACGAAAATAAAAATGTGAAGAATATGAAAAAATAAAAATTTCACAGGGGTAGTACGTCTTTTATAATTTATACCATTGTGAAAAATAGTGTTTTCTTCAATTTTAATTATAATATGAATAATATGAGATCACTGATGTCCAGTTAACTATATAGATTTCATCACCATTCAGCTGTCAATGTTTCAACAGTCAAGTGCGGTATTTTTTGTATTACATTTCTTGGTGAGACACCAAATAATTCTGAAGCGACCTCACGTCACCACTATCTATGTACAGCAGTCAGCACGAGTAGTCTTAATACTTTTTTGTACAAGTTCTTCCCGTTTTTATTTTTCTTTACTAAACACTGGGGCACTACATTTACACTTTGTACAAAGAATAATCACATTTAAGAGTTGCATATTTCTATGTCCATTGTCGTTGTGACACCAAGGAGAGGACCTGAAACAAAAAACGAATCTTCAAAAACTTTTATTGGTTTTTGGACAACTTGGATAGATTCACGAATATCCGTTCGTGAATTAGTTATGAGCATAAGTCAAATTGCATTAAGACTCAATTTGTGTACTGTACAGGGTGTGCCAAATTAGGCACTTTCAAAGGGAAAGTTATATTCCCGTACAAGATAGAAAAAAACTGAGGACGGTGCCTCTTAATCAATTCAGATGACAAACTCAAAGGTGAAAACCGCATATCGATAGCTATCTTCATTTTGTGAATTTTTTAAAAGTGGCTAGAACTCTTTTTTTCGCAAAAAATCTTCGTTTTCATGAAAACATTTACAGAGCAATGTGTTTGTCACGATGTTTTTTGAACATTATAGGGATTCCCTTTCGTGCGCTCCAAGCGATAAAAAAAAATTGCAAAATAGAACTTTTCCTTCAAGAAGGACAAGTTATATTCCTGAACAAGACATAGGAGGGCCTATTTCAGTGCCTCTAGAACAATCCCCAACATTCCCAACGACTACAAACTTATTTTCTTCATTTTCCAACTTGATTATTACTTGAAACTGATTCGAATTTATAAACAAGTTTGTGAGCACAATAGCAATTATTGACCACTAACAGTGGCACAGTCGCAAAAAATATAAGTATACTGCATATATGAGAAAAGACATTTGATTTTTGCGAATCAGAATCGTTTAATTTTGGCATATTTTATTGTCTATTATGTTCTGTATAAAAGTTGTTGGTGTTCTTGTTGTTTTCTATAATAACACCGTTTATTTTAGCCATTCTGTCACTATAAAACTGAATTGATTTATTATACGACTGTTTTGGGCTCGGATTAACGATCGTAGTAAGTAGTAAAATTTCGATCGTTAAATTGTATAATAAATTGATTCAACAATTAAGTATTAGATTTTCCTTCTAGATCAAAGTAATCGAACGGTATATTATTAAGATTGGATTGATTTACCCAATATATGATTGATTGTTTTTTGATATTCTGTACTTCATCAAATGACATGGAAGTAAATATAGCTAAAGAAGTAGGAAAACTTTAGGTCGTCTCCACACAAATTCAATTAACCTTATTACTTATTAGTAGAAGGTATTAGTACATGTTTCGAGCCAAACTAGGATCATCTTATGCTAATTGATGATAAATCTTGAAATTTCACTAGGTATATAATTCAACATTAGTTAGCTGAAGATGAGTCTAGCTTTGCTTGAAACTACTACTACTAAGTATAATGATTTTTATTGAATTTGTGAAGACTACTTGGAAAGTGTGATATCAGTTTCGAAATTCATAGACAACTGATTTCAGTGACTGAAGATCAATCTTCATGACAAACCTTTGAGAATTTTGCATTGAGGTCAAAGAATTCCAAAACGATAAAAGATATCAATTTGTGGTTACCAGTCTTCGACTAGGTAGTTTGAACACTTTGACTCCCCCGAAGGTACACTGAATGTACACCAAATGTATACCAAATTTATTGGTATCAAGTGTATACTCGATGTCAAGGGTCGCCTAAATTTGACACTTTCAAAGGAAAAGTTCTATTTTCTAAATAAATAGACATAAAGTATTTCAGGGATATTCCCAAAGAAATAATTTCACATTCGCGAGAAACGACCTATGACTCTGAAAGGATGATAGATATCGGTATATGGTTTTCACCATAAAGTTCGTCATGAAAATTGATTTCCAGGATTTTCTTGGAATGTCTTGGATTTCCTTGGAATTCCTTGGATTCCCTTGAAATTCCCTGGATTTCCTTGCAGTTTCTTGGAATTCCTTGTATGAAGTGCGGTATAATTCTGGTGTACAAACAAGTGGAATTCCTTGGAATTCCTTGTGAAATTGAAGTCTGGTGTGCACACTGGAGTTCCTTGGAAATCCTTGGAATTCCTTGGTGCGGTATAATTCTATTGTACAAACAACTGGAAGTCCTTGGAATTCCTAGGATTTCCGTGGATTTCCTTGGAATTCCTTGGATTCCCTTGGAATTCCTTGGTTTTTCTTAGAATTCTTTGGATTTCCTTGGATTTCCAAGTATTCCTTGAATTTCATTGGAATTCCTTGGATTTCATTGGAATTCCTTGGATTTCCTTGGATTTCCTTGGATTTCCTTGGATTTCCTTGGATTTCCTTGGAATTCCTTGGATATCCTTGGAATTTCTTGGATTTCCTTGGAATTCCCTGGATTTCCTTGAAGATTCTTGGAATTCCTTGTATGAAGTGCGGTATAATTCTGGTGTACAACAACTGGAATTTCTTGTGAAATTGAAGTTTGGTGTGCACAATTTTGAAAAGGCAGACTTGAATCAATACTAAACCATTTGCTAAATGAACACTAAATCAACACTAAGTGGACGCAAAGTGAGCACTAAGTGAACACAAAGTGAACACAGAATGAACAATGAATGCAGTCTCAATGCAAGTTAAATCAATATTTAATAACTTGTTGAATTAACATTAAATGAACACGAAGTGTTCACTGAAGGAACTCTAAATGCAGACTCAATGCACATTGAATCAATAGTAAATCACTCGCTGAATGAACACTAGATGAATATACTAACATACCACTAAATGAACACTAAATGAACAATAAATAAACACTTAATAAACACTAAATGCATGCCCAATGCAAATTGAATCAATACTGAATCACTTGCTAAATGAACACTAAAATAACTCTGAATGCAGACTTAATGCACATTGAATCAATAGTCGCTAAATGAACACTAAATGAATACCAACAAAACACTAAATGAACAATAAATGAACACTAAATATAGAATTTTTTTTGTTCGTTTTACCTCACAGATGGTGTCCGTAGTATTCGGGGTAGTGCGCGTACTGGTTGTGGAAGGCGGGATCGCCGGGCGGCCGGTGCATCATCTGCTGCCCGTCCATCATGTAGCCCATCGTGCCGTCGGGACTGTACGCGCCGCTCGGACCTGCGTGATGCGGCGGAAAAACTGATCGAATTAGTCGTGTTACGACGCTGCTCCGAAACAGGATCGGGAGGTCGACGAAAATAATAATTGCAATTTGAAAAACAACTCGCCTCCTTACACCATCAGGAGGAAGTCAGATACCAGGTACAGTCAGAGGCAAAGAACATGTCGCGATTGGATGGTGTCAACACTATTATTATACAGAAGTGACTAGAGGTGCTATCATCGCCAGAGAGCCTAACGTTTTCGAACCATTCCCAAACCTCATTGTCAGATTGGTGACATTGAATCACGTGATAAATTATGGACGCATGCGTATTCGCTCGTAGACAAACTCAGAATTATTAACGACACTCTCGAAGTCTCACTAATCGACTAATCATCGAAAGACACGAATCTCAACATATTACGAGATGGGAATGGTTCGAAAGATTTAGGCACTTCTCATCTGACTGCACATGGCCTAATCGAATCGATACCTCGTAAATCCACAATTTTTGCTCCAATTCCTCTGACCAACAGCATTATTTAGATATATGCCAACAGCAAGGGTGTGTGCAACATTTCTGTTCGATTGAATATCGGGAAGTGGTGGAAATATCGATAGTATGACGAAAAGGCAAACAGGAATGGGATTTGAATAAAAGCTTGTATGAATATCACGCTATTATCGAGTTGGTCGTAAAGAAGCCGAGATTAAAATTGTCAAAATGGGAGCAATTGACTGTCGCCGGTAAACTTTTTCGCTTTTTGTTGCTGTCAGGACTCAGGTGCCTGAGTTTTGTGTTTTGTTAATTAATTAGTGTTGGTATCGTTTTTATCCTCTTCATGAAAAAATCAAAAGAAATATTCCTTCAATTTGAACTTTTTTCCATGAAAAATCCATGACCCACTATTGAAATTCAATGTTTAGGTGATTTTGGAGCATTTTAAAAGATTTTATATTTATACATTATACAGGGTATTTGGAGCATCGTGTGCTCAGATTTTACATTCAAATACAACATTTGTATTTGAATGTGGAATTTGGGTCTTTCTTTGATAAACAGATAAAAAGACGATCAAAAATAATCCACTCGGCATGAAAGGTGTTAACTAGTCCTAAAACACCCTGTATATAATTTTGAAGGAAACAAAATAAGGAATTCAATTATCTTATGAAATACAGGGTGTTCCATTCAAAAAATCAGAAGTTTTAGTCATATCTGCAAAACCATACCACGAAAAGAAATTTTGAGTGCGCCCTTTGGATTCTGTGTAATATCCTTTATGAGATAAGATTCCATGCAATTTGACATTTTCGCTGGAAAACTTCGTAGATATAGAGGGGGTTCGAAAAGTATAAATTTACAAAATAGCCCTGTATCTCATAAATGGAGACAGTTATGTAAAATCTGACTAAGCCATCTTGAGTGTCATAAGAAAGTGGCACAGGATCGTGAAAACCGCAAAAAACATCGAAAACTGAACACACTGTACATACATTCCCATTGTGTTCTGGTGGTGATTCTTGATGGACGTGGTGGTCAGCATTGTTACAATGCCATTGACACCATGGGATTGAATTGTGATCAGAGAATGAATAGCTGGCGATTTTTCTCCGGCCGATGGAAAGTGAAACTTTCGTCGGTGCGAATACATGTATAAATTCCGCGAACGAACGAACGAACGAATGGAGGAGAGAAGCAGGGAGCCTGAGTGTATTAGCCGGGAGAGAACTGGGAGAAGTTTCCCCGAGCGTGGGGCTGTCATTCGGGCCGATTGTGAGCGGCCCTCGGTGATGGATCGGCCCGCAAGGGTCAATGGCTGCCGCCATTTCTCTTCGGCTGTCTCCAACAGGAACAGAAAACTCCGAAATCGATAGCGTACCGAAAGAACACTCTAACATCGACGGCCATTAATAATCGGCAGACGGAGGAATGAGTTCCTCGCTGGCGAAATAAAAAGCCAGATAACAGTCGACCGATCATACAAGACTTTCCACTTACAAGTCATATCGGCTAGCGGGATTGGCCCATATCTTCATAAAAATGCGTGACAGCGTTAAGCTTTAATGGAAATCACGATTCATTATAAAAGTGTGATAAGGGCAGCGGGCAGCGCGAGAATAGCCGTTTTAATCTACCCGAGCGGCGAGGACATCTGGTGTAAGGAGACTGAGATGTGGGCTGGACGCAAGTACGAGCAATATACAATATCTTTCTTTCCTTCTTAATCGATAGTTCTAAATGCACTTAACGTTTATATTCTCTCCGTAGAGGAACGGCTAATCTTTCGGTATTCATTCTTCATTTGAATATCTTTCGTTGAATCGGTTCTGAGAACCGTGCAACGGTGATAATAGAAATATTATACTTCAATAATGAGGAAATCATATTCAGATTTGAGATAAATTGCAAATTATGATATAGGAATTTGAAGAAACCAAGTATTCTTATCCTTGCATGACACATTTTGAAAGTTTCAGATTGCTAGAAGGTTGGTATTGTTTCAAGCTTGATCTTCAAGTTTTGAGAGAATTGTATCTTATTCGTACTTGTTTTCTACGATAATCATCTCTAAAAGTATCTTACCTGCTCTGTTCGACTGGTCTATCATAGGCTGTACTATTCTCCGCCTCGCGTTGATGAACCTGAAAACACACAACATTGCCTGATGTTAGTAAACAGTTTCGAATAGGAATTCTTCAATACACTATCAGGAGTTGAAATCAGCAATACGTTATATTCAGGAATCAGAAGAATATTATGATGAACTACCGTCAAAACTACAAACCACTTTTGTGGCAACACCGCCATACGATGGCATTCATACGAGGAACGTGGCGTTGTTGCTTTTCAAGGAAAGAATCTCTTGATACAACAGAATGTTTTTATGTTATCCATAAAGTATTGTTCAAAGGAAGCACGATCAACACAATTGACCAATCCAGAACAGGTGATTTTGACACTGTTTCTTGAAGGGCATACAAACTATCTGTTTCGTTATCTTCGAGAGCCCTTGATGGGCACAGCCCTACCCACATCCAGAATACAATAACAGATTCACCAAACAAAATCATGAAACTTATTTGGGTTCCAACTCAAATTCCAAGAAAAATGATCCAACTACTTCTGGTTTCATATGACACAATACAATGTTTGCCCTTCAACGACCTGTCAAATGACGTAATTCTGGAATGATTAATATTGCCAGTGTAAAAACGAATGTTATGAACTTGTCTACACTAAATAAGAAACTATTCCATAACCGGAAATCAGGCAGACCAGCACCAGATTCCGGCAACGTATGATCGTGCACGGATAGTTTCATTGGGGAGTATGGGGAGGAAGGGGGTTGTTTCCTCTTTCGCACCGTCGGTCGAACTGTCACGGCTCGTCAAATCGACGCCGCAACTAATGTCGGTAGACGCCTGAAATGATTGGGTTTGCTGACAACACATCCTCCGACCTGTCCATATGAGAGATGACGCGGATGAAGTTCACGGGGTGTTCGAAAAACATGACCAGCCAGTTCATCTGACAAAAATTGCAAAAGTTCTTGTTGGAACATTCAGCAGGTGTTTTGTAGAACTCTAGAGTCATCCAGAGATTAGTGATGTGTTGAAAGCTGTACAAGTGTACAGTGAGGTGCTTTTAGCAGCTTTCCATACAGTTCCATGGATACAATTTTTCATATTCTCTGAATGAGAGGTGTGCATGGTTGCTCAGATCTGTAACTTTGAACAGCCAATGTGTTGGAATACTGATTAGATTAGATTAGAATGAGGCCTATTGTGTCTGATGTCGAATTCGTTCGAGTTCTTTGACTAACCCCGCCTTCTCTATGAGACTCCATGGGGTAGCTGTCAGATCCTATGGGCCCTGTGTATCCTTGGACTCATGGTTTTTCCTCTCCCATGGTAACGGACCTTGGTTTTGTCAAGCCCTCACAGTGGCAAATAATGTGTACTGATGCTGTTGTCGTTCTCATGTGTTTGTGGAGCCTACAATGCCCTGTGAGAAGTCCTAACATTATTCTTTCCTGATTTGGTTTGCATCCATGATTCGATGCTTTTGTACAGCTTTCGCAATACCTCAAATGAGTTTTTCTTGCTCCTGCTCGGGCAAGAGAATTCCATTCCTCTTCGTTGCCCTCATTCTCTGTTGCGCTGGTATAGTCTTCACAAAGTCAATGAGACAGCTTGATCAAAAGAGATTCGTTGGCGATGTTTTTTATTGAGTTTGTCTACAGTGACTGTAAAGACTATGCATGCTAGTCAGTCTGTTCTGACTGCCCAGTTCATTTAAGGCTTTCAAGCAGTACCAGACAAGTTTGGAGCATATATCAGTCATTTTTGATCCATCTGTGTACCATGTTATAGGTACTCGTAGAAATGATTCCATACATGGCATAGAGAAAATGTAGGAACGTAGGAACTGAGGAATTGTTTTTCCGCCCTCCCTGATCGAAGTCGTAGGGCGATATATCTCACATTGGAAAATCCATATCAGCCGAGAACCGATGTGGAGCATTTCCTATACAATTTTATGAATAACATAGACGACGATGGGTATGTAATAGCCGTCGTGGGAAGCCCCGTCTTCGTCCCAGGCACCCCTAATGGATAGGGGAAATTGATCCTACAAAATTCCGAGTAATTTTGTTTATGTGTGACGCGAGGGATGCCGAAGATGCCGGATAATCGAAATACGGCCCGTACGCGTCTCGAAAAATACACCCGCAACATCCTAGGGCTTCGGATTCTCCGAGATTGCTTCAAGGAAAATGAGGCGTCGAACGAAAAACCGAGCTCATAAACTCGAGTGAATATTGCCGTTGCCGATACAAACAATGTCGCCACAACGTTATATACTTCACTGGTGAGATGTAGTGATTTTTTATCACGGAAACGCAGAGAATAGATGATCTCATATTTGTCAGAAGACATCAGGTACTCAGCCTTTTCACAGCTATTTTCGTGCCTTTGTATAACAAACTGAGCCTGCCTTATCGTATTGCGGGAGTATCAAGATTTCAGGGACTTCCATTCTTAGGAAATGTGGGCGGTTCCATGATGGTTGTTGATAAACAGTGTATATCACTGGAGATAACTCCACTTGGTCATTCAGTCTCGTTTGCGTCCTATCTCTAGATGCTTCTTTTCAGCAATTATTGAATTCGTGCATCATCCCGAAAGACAGAAAACGAATCCTTGAAAGTCTAGTTCAACTTCATAAAAAGATTCGAAACGCATTTTGGAATTTTTTAAGAAATTGTCCATCGTTCACGCCATCTATCATCGAATATGAGAACCCAACGTTCCGAACTCGCATTCAATTGTTTATATCGAGAGCTAGTCTGACGAAACAATTGAAGAGTGGGCACACCAGAGGAATTATAAACATCGCACACACCATATTATTCCCGGTATATCTCCCTCTCCTGCAAATTTCAGAATCCTAACCGAACAATTACGATAGATACAGGGGGACATATTGTATATCTTCTTAGATTATTCAGTACAAATAATGTATATATTGTATACCAAGCCGAGATCTTTCCAATCAAATAAAGTTACAATTACAAATGAATTCTCGTATCGATCTGGAGTGGGGCGACTCGAAATGTAAATAAAAAACCGCCCAGAGATCGAAGTAGCCGACCCCCTGACAAGCCGTTTTCTGTTTTTCACCCCGCGACCGTCGTATCGGATTCCTTTATTGGAAAACCATCCCAGTCTTTTCTTCTAATTGTCTTGACACGAAAAAGGCGCGCCTCGATAGCCACCTGATCCATTAAGTGATCAGATCTAGACACCGGTTTACGAGAAAAATTTCCGAGAGTGGAACAATACGGCGATATAGTATGGGAGGCAGTGTATTCTTACTGTCTTCTGAAAAAACAATGAAATACAATATTGTCTGTAGGTTAATTAGGAGTTGGAATATTTATATCTTTCGAGACAGTGAATGCAGAGAGATCGATTCTGACTCATACAGAGTCAATAAATGAAGAGCATTCATCAATGAATGCATCAAATGAGATATTTACGATAGGAATATTGTACAATATTTTTCATCTACTACTAACAATTCACTCGATACAGTTTCTTTCATGAGGTTAGCATCATATGGAAAAAACTTATTTCAATAATAATATGTTTTGAAATTCGTCTTCTGTCGTTGATTTTTGCTTTGAAAAAATATGAAAAATGGCCTACTCGGTCGGGGTCACGTGACTTCCACAAGAGATGATTTTTTTTTTAAATTTATCACTGAAAATATGCCCTTTTATTCGAGTTTCACGAAAATTTACTGTTTCTATTACAATTTTATACATGTTTCTTGAATTCGAACGTTCTATATTGTAACTTCGACAAATCTATCCTGAACTTCGGTTAGATAGGTATACCTTAAGTAGTTAGTAGTAGAAATAAAATAATAAAGCAGTTTCTCTAAAATGAAGTCAACTTTATGAAATACACTGTATATAGATAATTTTCCTTGAATTGATGATATTGAAAAAATCTCCTGAAGTAATCCATACTCGGAGTGGAGCGGGATGATCAAGAGAAAAGTCTCGTAGTCGCCTCCACAAAATTAATTAGCAGTTATGAGTTATCCCTGCTTAAAAAAGGGTTTTAGACATGTTTCGACCATTCAAATGGTAATCATCAGGATTTAGTGTATGCAGTGAATTTACTAAGAAAAATCTACTTCACATGTAGATAAAGCTCAACATTAGAGCCCAAGGGTGCTATACAATGCACTGAGGAAAAAATGATGCACTTTATTCCATCGATGTATAATAATCTATTATTGAACGCTGGTTTTTGAGATAATTGTAGACATGCACACAAGCTGTTCTCGAAGGATGTGGAACCAACTTTCAACTATTCCAGCTCTCATTTCTTGTAGTATGGGGATCCTTGTTCGCCAATATGAAGGTTCACACGTGTGACGCGATCCGCATAAAGAAAACATAATCGCACCAGATCTCGGGTCTGCGTCTTTATTGTCGCAGAGGGGGTGGCGATAAATTTCCGCTTTAATATCTCTCGGCACATAAACGACAAGAGGGTCGCAAGCTGACGCTCCGTATGATAGAGTCCACCCTCTGTCCTGTCGTCCAGATGCCGCCCCTGGTCGAAGATTACTGCTGGATTCCGACCCTGGCGAGACGCGGCTGGTGCGATATCGGGTAATGAGGTAATTACCCGCCAGGGGTCAGGCGTTACGCACCGCGTGTCGATCACTGCCTCAACTTCCATATTAACGTCGCGTACGTCGAAGTTGGAAAATGTTAGCGACTGCGAGAAACGTGAGGGGGAGGGATCATTCAGTCAGCCTGAACTGAAAATATTGTTACGCTTGCGTTCGGTCTTTCACAAACACCCTGTAGAAACACATAACGATTTATTCAAATGTGAACAGTAGATCTAGTTCAATGAATAGGAATAGGATTAGTGGATCTTCCCCATATGTCAGCAGACTAACAGAGAGGTTCACTTGTAGTACTACTTTGCAACGTTGTAGACGTAGGGGGGCTTGCACGTGTTGACTATAGATGCCGGACTTCAGGTTTTTTTTGGAAATGCCAGCCACCATGTTTTTTCGAATGAAACACCGTGTATATTTTTACATATTCAAG